CCTGGTTTAGCTGCTGTAACCGCCTCCCCCCTTTCTACTGCAACCCCGGAACCTTCAATAATTTCCATCCCTCCAGCAGCAACCACCACCGAACAGCCTGGAGCCGCTGTGTCATTGACTTCTGCCCCTGGTATAGCCGTTGTAACCGCTACCCCCCTTCCTGCTGCAACTCCGGAACCTTCGATCGTTTCTATTCCTCCAGCAGCAGCAACCGCCACCGAACAGCCTGGAGCCGTCGTGCCACTGACTTCTGCCCCTGGTATAGTCGTTGTAACCGCTACTCCCCTCCCTGCTGGAACCACCGAGCCTTCAATCGTTTCTATCCCTCCAGCAGCAACCACTACCGAACAACCTGGAGCCGTTGTGTCATTGACTTCCGCCCCTGGTATTGCGACCCCCACCCCGCTTCCTGCTGGAACCACCGAACCTTCAATCGTTTCTATCCCTCCAGCAGCAGCAATCACCACCGAACAGCCTGGAGCCGTTGTAACTGCTTCCCCGGCCGTAGCCGCTGAAACCATCGCCACGCTTCCTCCCCTACCAGCGGGCGAGACACATTCCCCAGGCACGACTGTAAGCCCTGTTAACGTGGAACTCCTACCGACCCCAACGTTATCCCCCCTACCAGCAGGCGAGACACATTCCCCAGGCACGACTGTGAGCCCTGTTGCCGTGGAACCGCTACCCACCCCAACGTTATCCCCCCTACCGGCAGGCGAGACGCATTCCCCAGGCACGACTGTGAGCCCCGTTGACGTGGAACCGCTACCCACCCCAACGTTATCCCCCCTACCGGCAGGCGAGACACATTCCCCAGGCGCGACTGTGAGCCCTGTTGACGTGAAGCTCCTACCCACCCCAACGTTATCCCCGCTCCCAGCAGGCGAGACGCATTCCCCAGGCGCGACTGTGAGCCCTATTGACGTGGAACCGCTACCCACCCCAACGTTATCCCCCCTACCAGCGGGCGAGACACATTCCCCAGGCACGACTGTGAGCCCCGTTGACGTGGAACCGCTACCCACCCCAACGTTATCCCCGCTCCCAGCCGGCGAGACACATTCCCCAGGCACGACTGTAAGCCCTGTTAACGTGGAACTCCTACCGACCCCAACGTTATCCCCCCTACCGGCAGGCGAGACACATTCCCCAGGCACGACTGTGAGCCCTGTTGCCGTGGAACCGCTACCCACCCCAACGTTATCCCCCCTACCGGCAGGCGAGACGCATTCCCCAGGCACGACTGTGAGCCCTGTTGACGTGGAACCGCTACCCACCCCAACGTTATCCCCCCTACCGGCAGGCGAGACACATTCCCCAGGCACGACTGTGAGCCCCGTTGCCGTGGAACCGCTACCCACCCCAACGTTATCCCCCCCTACCCGGCAGGCGAGACACATTCCCCAGGCACGACTGTGAGCCCTGTTGACGTGGAACCGCTACCCACCCCAACGTTATCCCCCCTACCGGCAGGCGAGACACATTCCCCAGGCACGACTGTGAGCCCTGTTGACGTGGAACCGCTACCGACCCCAACGTTATTCCCCCCTACCAGCGGGCGAGACACATTCCCCAGGCACGACTGTGAGCCCTGTTGACGTGGAACCGCTACCCACCCCAACGTTATCCCCCCTTCCAGCCGGCGAGACACATTCCCCAGGCACGACTGTGAGCCCCGTTGACGTGGAACTCCTACCGACCCCAACGTTATCCCCGCTCCCAGCAGGCGAGACGCATTCCCCAGGCGCGACTGTGAGCCCTGTTAACGTGGAACCGCTACCCACCCCAACGTTATCCCCGCTCCCAGCAGGCGAGACACATTCCCCGGGCGCGACTGTGAGCCCCGTTGCCGTGGAACCGCTACCCACCCCAACGTTATCCCCGCTCCCAGCAGGCGAGACGCATTCCCCAGGCGCGACTGTGAGCCCCGTTGCCGTGGAACCGCTACCGACCCCAACGTTATCCCCCCTACCGGCAGGCGAGACGCATTCCCCAGGCGCGACTGTGAGCCCCGTTGCCGTGGAACCGCTACCCACCCCAACGTTATCCCCGCTTGCCGCCGGCGAGACACATTCCCCGGCCACGACGCTGGCGCCCGCGAGCCCCATCGCCCAGGATCCCCTACAGACCTCCTCAACATTATCCCCCCTTGCCGCCGGCGAGACGCATTCCCCGGCCACGACGCTGGCGCCCGCGAACCCCATCGCCCAGGATCCCGTACCCACCTCAACGCTTCCCCCCCTCCCGGCAGGCGAGACGCATTCCCCGGCCACGACTGTGGCTCCCGCGAGCCCCATCGCCCAGGATCCCCTACAGACCTCCTCAACATTATCCCCCCTTGCCGCCGGAGAGACGCATTCCCCGGCCACGACGCTGGCGCCCGTGGCCGGCGGCACGCCTGGTGTGAACACCACGGAGCCCGTGGGGACGCCTTCACCTGACGCTACGGGGGGCCCTGCGGAGCCGACGCCGCTGGTAAGCGATGGACAATGCGCTGCACCCCGAGCAGTAGTGTTGAGGGAATCTTCGCCTGGCGAGGGGGGGGGGGGGGGGGGGGGATCAATTCTTCACTACTGGCAACTTCAGTTCACTT